AGAAACAGGCGATTATTGTTCTCGTTCTACAGCCTTAATCCGCTGCCAAGCTGCCTATTCATCGACCTGTTGGCGTGTCTTACCGTCCACCCACATGCCATTCATTCATTCACTCATCCATCTAGTCTCAATTACATTAATCAAGCACTCCATCCATTTAATGTTTTATATATTCACTTCATCCTCTCGTTTAGTAATTTACAAAGTAATAAATCCACTCACTTTATAATGATTTATTAACTTATTCATCAGCTCGTTCTTCCATTAATTACTCAAGTAATTTGTCAATATATAAACCATTTGCTTACTAATTCATTTATTCAACCATTCGAGAGTGTATTAATTAATTAATTAATTAATTAATTAATTCAATTGATTCAATTATCCACTTATTCATTAGGTAAAATAATCATATATTAAATTATTATTCCTTTATTCACCTTATTCATCCACTGATGTATTAAGTAATTAATTATTATCTTACTTTCTTTCTTTCTTTCTTTTTTTCTTCACTCACTCATCCTCTCGTTTATTCGCCATTGGTTCATTCGCCTGTTGATTAATTCACACATTCATGCATTAGTACACTAATCCATATATTACTTCATTCACCAAGTTTTTCAGTAGTTTATCTATTTATCCATTCCTGCCACATTTTATTTAATGATTACTCCATCCTTTCATTATTTTGTTTGAGTCAGACGAGCAGTCGATAATTTGGCTTCTCTTAAGTTGATACCGCTTACTGACTGACTGTATAGTTGTCTGTATGTCTGCCCGACTGTCATTATGTATGTATGTCTACAAATCTATCTGGTTCTCTAGTTTTCAGTCCAACCGTCCGTCGTGGGGTCTATTTTACCGTTTGTGGGGTCTATTTAACCGTTTGTGGGCCGGCCAACCAACCCGACTGTCTATTCGTTTGTCTCTCTGATGGTCGATCGGTGAGTTGGTGGGCTCTTCTTTTCCGGCAAGCAATAGACAAACACGACTCTTTTACTGGCTGCGTGTGTCGCCATGCCAATGGGTGAGTGGTTTCGACGGAAAAGTCATGCTTCTCTTCCCCTCCAACGGTTGTGACTCTTTAATAAGGCCTTCTCGTCTGCCTGAGCCAGCACTCATCGAGTCGACGAGCATAGCCACCAGAATTTGTGGTCAAAACCAGCAGAAAGTGGCGCCATTGTAGAGACCGTGTACCGTCCAGCGATTCGTCGGTCGCCCAGCTCAGACCGGCGTCCAACCGCCCAGCCAGCCTTGTCCGCACCACAAGGCTCGTCCAGCCTCTGGGCGCCATGGCAACCTGGACAGTTGATGCCGTCGAGTCAGTATTTCAGCACCGACAATAGCTCGATTGGCCGGTCAGCTTGAATTGGATGTTTCAGCTCATCGACTGAGGCCACGGCGCCATGTCTGGCGAGACGAGTCTGAGGAGGGCA